TGTATAACTTTATTTCAAAAAAATTCACGTAAAATTCTAAATGCTGTATAAGACTTTAATTTTTAAATATACCAAAAGCCTGAAAAGTTTGATTAAATTCTTAATTGTTTATTAATGATATTCCTGTGGAATTGAATGGGTGGTGAATGTATTGATGTGCACATAACAGTTTAGGCAAGTGAACTACCTAGATAATAGCTTAAGCTCTGCTTAAGTTCAAGTCACAGGAAATTATATTAAACATGAAAAGAAACAAAAGACTCCCAGACACCTCTTTCCAAAGGAAAACAAGGCTGCATACGCTGGATCCCCCTTGGCTCTCACACCGAGTGAGGAGTTTCTCCAGAAGTCTATTCAGTTGTGAATGTCAACAGTGGACTTTGCTCTGAGAGCTTTGTTCAAACTCAGCACCATTGGGATTTGGATCATAATAAGTATCGAGACTGCTCTATGTATTCAGCAGTATCTCTGGACTCTGTCCACTAGATGTCAGCAGTGGCACGAAGATTAAAATTTTGGCCATTGCCAAAATTGACCCCTGTTAAGAACCATTGATTTTGAGCATTTTTTCTCCTTTATGATTTCATCTGCCGCCACCTAAGAGTCTCATTATATGTCTATGTTTTAAATTACCATTTCCATCAATGAGTATGGGGAAGGAAAGGGTACTATGCAGTAGTTATAGTATACTGTTTTTATGCTTGAAGACTTCTTATTCAAAATGATCCCTATTTTGATCTTTCATTTTGAATAGTTGTAATCACCTTGGAGTAATGTTCATTGACCCCCTTCATAAAGTTTAGACTATTTTAAGAACATAGTTACCATTCTTCAGGAAAGCTAAGCTTACATATGTATCTCTTTAGATTGTGTTTGGCTTTTGTTTTCTTTGTGAGGCATCATGCCTCTTTCCTATTATCATTCTCTTGATACACACTACTGTGTCCTTTGGTTTTCTGTGTGAGTCTTTACCATTAAGCTGTGCCTTTTAAAACAAATAATTGGATCTTCTGGTTTGATCCAGTAAACTAGTCTACATGTTTTAATTGGAGTATTGAGACTATTAACATCTCTCAAGGTTATTAGTAAGATATTTGCTGACCCCTGATACTGCATTTCTGGTTGGTTGTGATACTGTTTTGTTTTTCTTCCTCCCTTCATCTTAGAGGTCTGTTGGTTACTGAATTGGAAATGTTTGATTCTATTCTAGCTCTCATTAGATAAAAAGGTGTGTGTGTGTGTGTGTGTGTGTGTGTGTGTGTGTGTGCGCGCGTGCGTGCACGCACGTGCGCGCGCATTGCACTTAGGTGCCTGTGTCGGCCATAAAAAGATGTTAGATACCCTGGATCTAAGGTACAGGCAGTTGAGTTGCCCAGCATAGGTGCTGGGAGCTAAAATCCAGCTCTTTGAAAGAAGAGTGAGTGTTCTTAGCCACTGAGTCGCTCTAGCCCTGTAATTCTCATGTCTTAATATGTTCCTCGTGAGATATATTCTTCCATGTGCTCTTGTGTTGTGACTGTCTTCCTCCTGTGTGTGTGGAATTTATTTAAGTATCTTCTGTGATGCTTGTTTAGTGCTGGTGAATTGCTTTCATTTATGCTTATCTTGGAAAATATTTTCCGTCAATTTCAAGGAATATTTGCTAGATAAAATGTAATCCACTTCGACAGTTATTTGCTTTCATGACCGGAAATATATCATTCCATGTGTTTCTGGTTTTTAAGCTTGTTTAAGTCTTATTTATTATTAGTGTGTGGGTGTACACGATGGGGAGGGTACATTCCTTGATGCACATGTGGGGAGCAGAGAACAGCTTTGTCGAGTCAGGTCTCTCCTTCCACATTTATGAGGGTTCCAGGGATTAACCTCAGGTCACCAGTCAGCACCTTTACCCAATGAGCTGCTTCATTTAGTTTCTGTTAAGAGGTAGAATGTTATTCTGGTATGTTTGACCTAGTAAGTAGCGAGATTTTCTCTCGCTGCTTTGTTTCTTTTTTCCTAGCCTTAGCATTTTAAAAATGGTATGTCTCAGAGAGGTTCTTTTCTGGCCATGTCTACTTGGGCTTCTTAATTGCTCTTGTACTTATCCATCCCTATCTTTCCCTACATTTGGAAATTCTCCTGTTATAATTGCATTAAGTAAACAGGTTTTCTATTTCCTTCAGTTGCTCAGCTAATTCTATATTGTCAGTGTATCTCAGCAGCTATGGTCTCACTATCTAGTGATGAGAAGGAAGTCAGTTACCAAGTCATCTGATCAGGCGTAAGCAACCCCGTAACTGTCATGAACTCATCTGCTCTTCCCTTTGAGTTGCATTATGGCCCACCCTTGCTACTCTGTAGTCCTTTTTATAAACCTTTTTACAAACAAACAAACAAACCAGAATAAATAGATTAAAAGAAATATAAATCTCCCTTAAAAAATAATTTGTGTAGGCATTTGTTGCTGTTGCGGTAATGCAACACCATGGCCAAGTATAGGAAGAAATGTTCCTTTGTCTTATGGTTCTAGATTCTTCATGGCAGGAAATTGTGGCTGCAAAAGCCATGGTGGCGGGAACAGTTGAGAGCTCATTTCTTGAACCTCAAGCAGGAAGTCCAGGCAGCAAACTGGGAATGGCGTGTGACTTTGAGATCTCAAAGCCCGCCCCCGTGATAAGCTTCCTCCAGCAAGGCTGCAGCTACTAAGCCTACCAGATAGTTCCATCAATTAAGGACAAAGTGTTCAAACCTCTGAGTCCATGGGGGACACTCTCACTAAAGCCACCACCATATTCTATACTCAGAGACAGGCAATGTAACTGTCAACCAATTAGGTGTGGACAGTACATGGTAACTTTCCTTTAAAGAATAGGATTTGGAAACAGAGGCCAAAAGAGGAACTCTCCGGTCAGGAAACCTGGCAGACGGTCTCTGCCAGACAGCCAAGGTCAACATCAATAGTTGACAAGTTATGTGAAGAGTGTGGCCCCTTGATATGAGTGCATGTAAACTGTACTGTATTCCTATATTCTTTCTCTTACAAGACTTAACCCTTTTTGAATTTTGAAGAAAAAAATCTAAAACATACTAGAACATTCTGTAAAATATATGACCATTATTTCTCAAAACTGTTGAAGTCATCAAAAACAAGTCTGAGAAAGTGTCAAAGCTGATACAGGTAAATGTTACGTGACATCCTGTATTTGATTTTGAAACGGAAAGCGTACATTATGTAAAAGCCAAGAAAATCTGAGTATAGTATGAGCTTTAATTAATAATGCATTAACATTAGTTTATTAACTAAAACAAATATATCACTGTGTAAGATGGAGAGAGAGGAGGTGGGAAGAGTCTGGGAGGAGTTGGGGGTGGGGAAAAGCATGATCAGAGTAACTTGTCTGAATTTTTTCAAAGATAAAATGCTTTGTGGAAATGATCTATACTGTTATCAAAACCCTACTGAACCATGATTATTAAAAAAAAAAAAAAAAAAAAGAGAGAGAGCTGGAGAGCTGACTCAGTGTTTAGGAGCACTGGCTGATCTTGTGGAGGACCAGGCCTTGGTTCGAAGTATGTACATAGGGTGGCTTCAGTTCCATGGGATCTGTCACCCTCTTGTGGCCTCCGAACATCTACACACACACAGTGCACGTACATATATACTCAGGCCAACATGCATGCATATAGAATGAAAATCAGTCAATCAAAATATTTTTTAAAAAAGCATAAGAAAATATTTATGAATTTCTGCTCATGCAAATATTGTGTCTTGATTATGGTATCTCATGACAGCAATAGAAAAGTCACTAAGACAACATGTCAAAGCAAGGGAAAGAGAATAAAGAATAAAAAAAAAAATTGTGGAAAAGATGTCCGATTTTCTCATACATGTCTAAATGAATTTTTTCTAATTCTTCTATTGCACCGAATTTCTAAATTTTTTTTTGGGGGGGGGAACCACATTTATTAGTTAAGACAACATAGGCTGGCCACACACACACATGCTAAAAAGTTTTAAATGTCTTTTAAAACTTCAAAGATAATTTCTTTTCCAAGCCCCACAATCATTTCCATAATATTTACAAGATAAAAAGCCCACATTAAGACATTGAACAGTAAAGTATGTAATAGATGAATTTCTAAATTTTAAAAGTACAAAAGTGTGTAATGGCGGTCAGAGGCAGCAGAAGACCCCATCTCACACACGTGTGTCAGAATGAGAGCCATAGCTTATGTGCTGAGATCAGCAGTTGAAGGACAGCGTGAATTCATAGTCTCTATCATGTTGATTTCTAAAAGTATGGGTTTTCTGTGTGAATCTTTGTTTTCCACGTTGCTTTCTCTTGGTGCCCGTTGAGAAGAACCAGTGGCTGTTGTTGTTGATGATGATGCTCAGGAGACATAATGTTGGAGAACTGTGTTCTGTTGCTTTGTGGGGACCTGTGACCTGGGGCATGTCTTTTCCCCTTCCTGTGTCACTCTGTCCTAGTCATTGTCCTTTACGATACACCAGATTTAAGATTTAAAATGCCTTTAACATTGGCCAAAGAAGTGTTTCTTTGTTTGCTTACTTGAGATATTCTGGAGAGAAAACCGTGTTTATTCTCTTATTAAAAAAATAACACTGTTGCTTTGTTTCAGCCAAGGCTAGGCACTATAAAGATTATGCATTACAAGTACGTCTAATACAAAAAGCCAATATAAAGAAGACAAGTTACATCTTCAGATGGTGAAGTTATTGTTTTGCAAACAGCAATAAGTGAAATACTTTACTACTATGTACTGAATTTGGAAAAACTTAAGATGGTGTTATTTATGAAATGGTGAATAACATCAGTTCACAAAATTTGAATGACAGAATTTTGTTATATTCACTTGCTTAAAGACAGTTCTTCAGACATTAAAGTTACCTTAGATTGATATGGTACTTATTTGACTTGAGGTTATATTATAGGGACTTTTTTTAATTATTTAACTGTTACATTGATAAGTTTATTGTTACTGTTTTTATTTCAAAGGTCTCTGAAGAAGTTATAATGGATTACTATGAGAAATATAAACCTAGAATGAACGAGTTGGAGGCATTTAATATGGTAAGTCATGTACATACATACACACACACACACACACATGTATGTATTATACTGGATATGTTGCTAGACTAGAATAGTGCCTTATTAAATATTATGGGCCAGTCAGTCTGTGTTGTTGCTGTTGTTTGTGTATGTGAGAAAGACACACACACACACACACACACACACACACACACACACACACACAGAAGGCAAACTATTTGGGATGATTTCCTATTTCAGAACTATATTAGGTGTTAGGAGTGTAATAAAAAGAGCACATGGTAGATTTCTCTTAAAGTGCATCATAAATGCACAGAGCAATGCTTCAGAGTCCTTTGAACACATGTTGATATCCAGAGCAGTTATTTCACAAGCTTTCCTTTTAATGAATCGCATTCTCAGGACTCCTTTAAAAGCTTTCCATCAGATGATTGCTTCCTGGATTCCACCTCATGTCTCTTAGAGGGCATTCTTTTCCTATTACGAGTAAAGAAAAGCTTTTGATGTGGAGGATTCATTTTCGGAAGATGTACAGTAGGTATCGGGTATCTGACATATGCGTCGTTTTGTAGACACACTTTCTCAAACATAAATGTTGAAGCAAATAAACTATTAAAGTACACTACCTTTGTTTCCTTGCAGTTGAAAGTCGTTCTGGCTCCTTGCATAGAAACACTGATTCTTCTTGATCGACTGTGTTACCTGAAGGAACAGGTAAATTATGTTATTTTTCAGTGCATAACAAATATCATTATTAGGTGAAATAAAATGAGTAAAATTACAGAGCTGGAATAAAGTTATTTCACACAAATTAGTAAGATAATTCTCATACTCTTATTTTTAATATTCCGTCTATTTCTGGCTCAATATATAAACATATGTACAGCAGATGTCTTCAAAAAATTTCTGTAATAAACTTGATGTTTTATCAACTTGTGTGATAAGTAATATTCATAGACAGTGAATAGACATAACCATGTATGATTTTAGAGCCAAAATTAATTATGGCCACTCATCGAAGATCCTATGCACACATTTCACTTTGTTAGACCTGATCTTTTAATGTGCTTTGGATGCACATGTCCTGTGATGTAGAAATGTCTTTCTAATCAGTGAGGGGTAGTTCTTCTCTCCCACAACCTTACTGTTTCATCTGTGATGTGTGGTCTGCTGAGCTCTGGTCAATAAATTGTTTTGAACTTTTAGTCCCCTTCACAGAATCAACTTGTTGTCGACTATAAATCCTTTATTTTTAACAACTACAATCCTTTATTTGGTCATCTAGTGCTTTTTCTTTTCAAAAGGCTTCTTTAAACAAATGAATTTTAATAAATTCCTTTATTTTAATTAGTAGTTTTAAAGATTAGGACAATTCTTAAGGATTTAAATAATATACTTTCCTTAGCCACGATTTAATTCCAAATCCCTACAAAGCCTTGATCCTCAAGTTGGGAGGTGATACACCAAGTAACTATTTGAATAAATACTCATTTCCCTTCACAAAAAAATTCAATTGACCTAGATAAACAATTAAATAAAATAGCATGCAACAAAATGAATAGATGCAAATGAAATTGTACAGGCATATGATTATTCATTTTAAATATTGAAATGTCTTATAAAAGTGGTCATATTTGTTAAAAATCTAAAATCTATAATATAAAAAACAAAAGTAAGAGGAATATAATCCCACCTTTCAGACGTCACTATTAAATACTAAGTACATTTTATAATGATGTCACACATGATTATAGATTGTGCATGTACATGTGTGTGCATATTATTTTTACTTTAAAAGTATAATAAAGTTTAAAGTATTTAGTATGTAATTTTTATTTATATATCATTTTCTCCCTCTCTGTACAAGGTGAATAATGTTTCATCATAAAATTGCTTGTTTAAAATACAGTATTTGTTAATTGGCTTTGTTCAGCTTTTCTATATTGAAACAAAGAATACTTTGGCAGTCAGTCTCTACAGGTGTATGTTGTGTTTCCACTTAACTTCTTGAAAACAAAATTGTAATTTTCATTCAATAGAAAGTTATAGCCTTTGGTTTCTACTAACATTTTCTATTACGATTTGTAGTCCAGTTGGTCTGTGGAGTCTGGCTCGTCTTTCATTTGTTCAAAAGTGGGAGTGCATGTCAATTCTTTTCCATTTTCAGGAAGATGTAGTGTGGTCTGCTCTTGTGAAGTTGTTTGACCCTGTCCAGTCTCCCAGGTGCTATGCTCTCGTTGCCCTGAAGAAGCAGCGGTGACCGCAGCGGAGGCAGGTGGCTAGTCAGCTTGTTTGGGGACTTACCTCGAAGATTACTTTTCTAAACATTTATATTTTAAATAATTGCTATATTTTAAGTAATAAAATAATGGCTCACAATGTAAGATCATAATCAGTTTTTCTATTCTCAAAGCATACGTTAATAAAATAAGAACTTATGAAAATATTATGGCCAGCCTTCCTGAGTGTGTCAATGGCAGATTGTACTCTGACTTTAATTCTTGTTCAATATTTGGGACCTTTAGTATTTACCACATATCACATTTTGGCCTTTATTTGCTTAAAAGGAAATGGTAAGTCCAAACATCGATGTTGCTAAATGCTGGTTATTCTGTGTACTTTTCAGAACATTTTGCAATAGTTTCCACATTGCCATAATGGAGAGATATACATTTAAAAAACACCTCACAAGCAGGTCAGTTATAAAATATGCCTAATATAAAGCATATTTTATGCTGTTTTAACATAAAGTACACTTGATGATATTCTATTTCCTTAAGGAAATGTGCATCTTATGAGTAAGTATTCACTTCACGGATTCTTGAGGCTCTTTATCCTACTAAAAAGAAGTGATGGGGTGGTGCTTAGGAGAATTAAATTGTGCTCTATAAAAAGCCGCCCTGAGTGAAGCCAGACATGGGAGACGCCTCCCTGCCAAGTGTAGAAAAAGTTCCTTTCTTTAGTAACACACAAAGTTTTTCGTGCACGCTAAAGAGCTGGACAGCTGGGATAAGGCTTTCTCGATTCTCAGCTGGAGAGCCCTCTTAGAGTCTCTAGAGAAGATAAGGAACTGCTTCTGTAAATGTTTGAGCTTTTCTCCAGATGAGAAGGATTTTATTTCTTCAGGGTTTCGTGTGGAGTTTCCAGCTGATACAAATGATCAAGAACTGTACACAGCTAGTACTTTCCTAGTGAGCTACTTTAAACTACCTTTTGATAAGAATTCAAATGTCTGACCCTTTACAATAGCCACAAATAATATAAAATACCTTGGGGTAACTCTAAGCAAGTGAAAGACCTGTATGATAAGAACTTTAAGTGTCTGAAGAAAGAAATCGAAGAAGATATCAGAAAATGGAAAGATTCCCATGCTCATGGATAGGTAGAATTAACATAGTAAAAATGGCAATCTTCCTGGGCTACAGAGTGAGTTCCAGGAAAGGCACAAAGCTACACAGAGAAACCCTGTCTCGAAAAACCAAAAGAAAAAAAAAAAAAAGGCAATCTTACCAAAAGCAATCTACAGATTCAGTGCAATCCCCATCCAAATCCTGAAACAATTCTTCACAGACTTGGAAAGAACAATACTCAACTTTATATGGAAAAACAAAAAACCTAAGATAGCTGAAAGAATCCTATATAATAAAGCAAACTCTGGAGGCATCATGATCCCTGACCTCAAGCTCTACTATGGAGCTATAGTAATAAAAAACAGCTTGGTACTTGCATAAAAACCAACACGTGGACCAATGGAATCAAATTGAAGACCCTGACATTAATCCACACACCTATGAACATAAGATTTTTGACAAAGAAGCCAAAACTGTGCCGTGGAAAAAAGAAAGCATCTTCAACAAATGGTGCTGGCATAACTGGATGTTAACATGCAGAAGATTGCAAATAGATCCATATCTGTCACCATACACAAAACTCAAGTCCAAGTAGATCAAAGACCTCAACATAAATCCAGTTACACTGAACTTGAAGAAGAGAAAGTAGGAAGTAGTCTTGAATGCATTGGCCCAGGAGATCACTTCCTAAATATAACACCAGTAGCACAGACACTGAGAATGACAATTAATAAATGGGACCTCCTGAAACTGAGAAGCTTTTGTAGGGCAAAGGACACGGTCAACAAGACAAAGCGACAGCCTACAAAATCGGAAAAGATCTTCACCAACCCCACATCTGACAGAGGGCTGATCTCCAAAATATATAAAGAACTCAAAAAGCTAGACTTCAAAATAATGAACAATCCAATTAAAAAATGGGCTACAGAGCTTAACAGAGAATTCTCAACAGAAGAATCTCAAATGGCTGAAAGACATTTAAGTAATTGCTCAACATCCTTAGTCATCAGGGAAATGCAAATCAAAACAACTCTGAGATACCATTTTACACCTGTCAGAAGGGCTAAGATCAAAAACACTGATGACAGCTTATGGTGGAGAGGATGTGGAGCAAAGGGAACACTCCTCCACTGTTGGTGAGAATGCAAACTTGTCCAGCCACTCTGGAAATCAGTATGGTGGTTTCTCAGAAAATTGGGAATAAGTCTTCCTCAAGACCCAGTTATACCACTCTTGGGCATATACCCAAGGAATGCTCATTCTTACCACAAGTACACATGCTCAAGTATGTTCATAGCAGCATTATTTGTAATAACAAGAACCTGGAAAAACCTAGATGCCCCTCAACTGAAGAATGGATAAAGAAAATGTGGCACATATACACAGTGGAGTACTACTAAGCAGTAAAAAACAACGATATCATGAAATTTGCAGGCAAATGGATGGAACTAGAAAATATCATCTTGAGTGAGGTAACCTAGACTCAGAAGGACAAACATGATATGTACTCACTCATAAGTGGATACTAGATGTGAGGGAAGGAATGGCCAGACTGCAACCCACAGCTCTAGAGAGGCTAGCTAACAGGGAAAGACCCTAGGAGGGACATATGGATGGCCCTGTGAAGGGGAAGTGGATGAGATCTACATGAGTGAACTGGGTGTTGGGGGGTTGCAGAGGGCGAGGAGTGGGGGATGAGAACATAGGAAAATGGGAGGGTCAAACTGGAGCAGGGACAGAGTGGGAGGGCAGGGAGGAAGATGCCATGATATATGAGGACATCATGGGAATAGGAAGAGGCAGGGTGCTGGGGAGGCTCTCAGGAATCCATAAGGTTGATCCACCTTGGTCTGCTGGCAGTGGTCCAGAGGGTGCCTGGACTGGTCTACTCTGGTGACCGGTCTAGCGAATAACCTAGCTGTCATCATAGAGCCTTGGTCCAGTGACTGATGGAGGCAGATGCAGAGATCCATGGCCAGGTGCCAAGCTGGACTCTGGGAATCCAATTGATGAGGGAGAGGAGGAATTCTGCAGGCGGGGGACATCGAGATCATGATGGGAAGACGTGCAGAGATGACCGGCCACACTAGTGGAAGCCCATGATCTGTGGACTGGTGGCTATAGAGCCCCCATGGGACTGGACTAGGCCCTCCGGATACGAAGACGGTTGTTTGGCTCGAACTGTTTTGGTGGCACCCAGGCAGGGGGATTAGTATCTGTCCCTGGTGCATGAGCAGGCTCCTGGGAATCCGGTGCCTGAGGTGTGACGCCTTGTGCAGCCTTGGTGCAGTGGGGAGGGGCTTGGACCTGCTTAGGCTCGGTGTGCCGGGCTCTGCTGACTCCCCATGGGAGACCTTGATTTGGGGGATGTGAGGATGTGGGGTGGCTTGGGAAAGAGGGCTGGGGGGGGGGAAGAGGGAGGAGGGGGGATTTGTGGGTGATATATGGAATGTGTAGAAAATTTCTTAATAAAGAAAAATGAAAAAAAAAAGAATTTAAATGTCTGGAAGTGGTGAGTCACTTTTGAGGAATCCCTGTACTAGTCAATGATTATCACTATTTTATCAGTCTTTACCTTTATGAATGTACACATACACATACCTCCACCAGAACTTCCCCTGCTAAAGAATTATGAAGGAAACTCCAGACAGCTTGGGATTTGTCATATTTAACTTGTTATGTATTTCTAAAACCTAGGAATCTTTCTACAATATTTGTAGGTGTTCTCATTCACATGTCTTTGATTTTTTAGAACGCCTTTATATCAGTTCAGTTGAAACTTGATGGAGTTTAGATTATGGTTGACAGGTTTGAGATTTTTGTTTCTGTTACATGTGGTTTATTTACTTCAAGGGATGGGAGTTGGTCAGTGCAGGTGTGCCACTGCAGGGTGTGGAGGTCAGAGGACAGCCTGTGGGAGTCAGCTCTGCCCCTCCACCATGTGAATATCAAGAGTCAGACTGAGGCCACTAGTGGACAGTGCGTTCCCCTACCCTCAGCATCATCTCACTGGCCTTTGTTTATTGGTTTGCTTGCTTTTACTTTCTTAATAGTGGTTAGTGCTGTGTGAAGACTAGTACACCACACCTTCTGTAGCTGTCTCCATTGGCGCTGATAGGATTGATTAGCTCTTTATAGCTGTGAGCCTAATGAGGTAGTACAAACTTCCTCCTTCAGCCTTCCTCTTAGTGGGCTGGTTGTACCATATGGTCATCCCTGAAAACATATGTACAAGTGACATGGAGGCAGAATAGGTTATATTTGGGAATATATGTATATACATATATGCATGCAATAACAATTAACAACAACAACAACAAAAAAAAGAAGCCATGATTTTGATGGAGAGTGGAGGGGGTATGTCAGAGAGTTTGGAGAAAAGAAAGGGAATAGAGAAATGCTTTAATTATATTCTCAAAAATAAAAATAAAAATAACTAATAAAGAAAGATGGAAATATGCATACAGTGAATTTATTCAAATTGATTGGCTGAGAATACTCCTGGTTTTAATTAAAGAGCTTATTTCATTAGTTTTGCCAAGTGCCTTTTTGTTTCAACACACTGTCCTTTTATTTCCTCATAGTGTTTGCAATATGTAGCTATCTCAGAAGGAACAGAAAATCTAGTTAGCCTTTTTCTTTCCTTTTGTAATTTTACTTCTATAAAAATTTGACAGCCTTCTTTGGCAACTGAATATTCATTTAACATTCATTTCTCCTTATGACCCAAAGACCTCATGTAAAAAACACTGTTTGCTTAAAAACATAAAGTGCAACTCTTTCCTTACCATTTAAAGTTTACAGTAAATTACCTACATTTCAAGATATTAGCAGAACTTGTATCTGTCAGTTTGGACATCCAGTAACATGAGAGAATATACATGATCCTATCATATTGAGAGAACATTCATGATATTGCAGCTTTACATACACAAATCCACACTACAGTGGTAGTAGATGCCCACCTCATAAAAACTGTCCTTTCAGAATTAGTTTACAGTTCATTGAAGAGCATAGTGCATTGCTATGAGCACCCTTCTCATAATCACCTTCTGGGGATCTAAAACAAAAGCCTTAACATCTCCAAGCTCTCTGT